TTTGATTACCTACTAGCTTAAGATTCAGTTAAAGCCCCTAAAATTAGATTTACTCACTGGCTGATGTTGATCATAATCCCCCAAAAATACATTTATTATCATTTCAATTGATCTATGCCCTTCCATGTGACGAATACAGACGTTCTTCCATTTCCATTTTTTATTTTTAAGAAAGCTCCAGCATAAGAGACCATTATTTGTATACCCTGTTTCAAATTCAGAGGCAATTCTACCTAGTCTACCTTTCCTAGTGTACTTCATTTCAGCCTCTGCCTCTCTCTCTCTCTCTTCAGCCACTCTGTGTGACTCCGTTCTTCCTTGACGTCTGTCTCAAGCAGAGACTTGCATAACCCTTGGCAGCAGTGTCATGAATCACCACAATGCTGTACCTCCACATGTCATTTCACATGCCAGAGAACATTCGGTGAAGGCAGTTTCTTCTCCAGATTTTGAGAAATTATATTCAAAACCATGTCAGGGAGGCCACCAGCAAAACATGGCTGCCAGCTCACGCTCCTCCTCCTCCTCCTCCTCCTCATTCTAATCCCCTTAACTGTTCACCGTCTCTCTTTCCGAGTTGTGGCCTCCTCGTTGTTAGCCCCTCCTCCACAGAACTTTAACCGTAGCATGTCACACAAAGCCTCTGATTGGCTGTCAGAAGTTTATATAATCACTGTCTCCATGGTTATGTAAGGTCTGCATGGGCCTACACACTCCACTCCACCCTGCCGCTCTGTCTAAGAGGAGGGGCAGTAGTGGGGTTTGTGGATCAGTGGAACATATGGGTTATGTGTATGCTGTGTGTATACTCCTGTCAGGGAACTCAGTTAAGCAGAAGTGTGTGTACGCGTGTCGTGGTTTTGTTAAGTAACATCATTGGAGATGACTTTACACTTAAAGCATTGATGTCTTGATCATTGCATTGTGTATGTATGAGTACATTTCCAGTCTTTCTCTCTGTGCTATATTCATTCTTAAAAAACTAATTCAGGCAACTTTTGGTTTATCTTCAGTGAGGTCTTGTCAGGACCTTTCAGTACACTAAGGGGAAAAAACATTTTAAAAAGTAATGACATAAAGTGTTTTATTCTTGTCTCTGTGTGTGTGTGTGTGTGTGTGTGTGTGTGTGTGTAGGTGGTGGATATTATGCGTGTTAATGTGGACAAAGTGCTGGAGCGTGACCAGAAGCTGTCTGAACTGGATGACCGGGCAGACGCACTGCAGGCTGGAGCCTCCCAGTTCGAGACCAGTGCTGCCAAGCTGAAAAGGAAGTACTGGTGGAAGAACTGCAAGGTGCCTAAACACAGTTTGGTCCACAAAACCATGCCCCTTTCCCCACTGTAAATTGAAATTACTCGAACTGCCCTTTAATGGCTTCAATGGCATTTCATGTTCATGTGTTTGACTACACAACTACATATACCACGTATAATAGTGAAGTGAAACAAAAAGAGTGAGTCTTACAAATGACTCAGTTAATATCAAGATCAAGGTATCAAGGTTCATTTATTTGGCATTTTACACCACACAGTGGCGCAATGAAATGTAGAGTAGAATAAAATAAAATAAATCAAATATAAATAGACAAACCTAATTCCAGTTGATATGTGTGACACTGAATTTGCTGTACCTTTTCTGACTTGCAGATGTGGGCCATCCTGATAGCTGTCATAGTGATCATCATCATCATCATTATTAGTGAGTATCAAGCCTGTGTTATCTGTCTCTATGATTTTCAACCAGTTACTGCTCATAACCCTTAATATAAAGTGTAACCATGTGCATATAATTACAGAGATTTAATTGTATCTGGATTGGATTGTGAGTTATTGCATTTACCAATATTACCTGAGAAAAATAATTAGTTTATTTAAATCTTTAATCCAAAAAATCCCTGCCTACTTATTCACAGTTTGGAGTTATTCGTAAAACAGCAGCAAGAGGAGGAGGAGGAGGAGGAAGGAGTGGAGGAAACAATGAAGAGGAGGAGAGGAGCAACATGCACAATTAATGTCTCAGAGGAAGATGTCACATGATTACTGGCTACTGAGCTCCACAATATTTTTCCCCTTTTGCATTGGGGGTCTTCATTCCTTGTCCTGTTTTGCGGTGTGTGTGTGTGTGTGTGTGCGTGTTTGCACATATGCTTGAGTAAAAGATTGTTATAATACCAGAGTTTTACCTGCATAACTACTTCATACCATACATCACCACACGTGTATTTGAGTGCCATACCAATTGCCAAAGAAAACAGAAACCATACAGTACATACAGAAACGAGTTGATCATTAAACTCAGAATCAACTACAATTTATAGAAACTATTAATGCATCAGCTTCGACTGTATGATAAAGCACACACACACACACACACTCCAACCTCAGGATTAGAATTGAAGAATGTTGTTGTAAACTCTCCTCAACTTATATGTTTTTTTTTTTTTTATGTTTTATTCATAGCCATTGATTTTGTGTGCCAGGCAAAGAGAAGTGCCTTTGAAGATATGCTGTTCTGTGTTAGTTTAGATTTTAACAGTAACCCTGCATATCATTGAGAGATACGCCTTTCCAACATTTCTACTTTTCAGACTCTAATGCCAATATTTAGAATTTTCTCCTCATTTTTTAAAAAACATTTCTGGTCTGTAATTTTATGGTTACAGTTGACCAGGGAATGATGAGATCCCATGCCTTATTTTATTTGTGCACATTAAGTTCTCTGCGTAAGACCTTTGATTTTGGATTGAATAAAGAAGAATTTCATTGGTCACCAGACAACAAAAAGCTAACCAGTAACACACTGTTGAACCACCTGATGATACTGTACCCGTCCTTGTTCATCTTCCCTTTAGGTGGGTACAATAAAAACTAGTGTGAGCTTGTGTTTAGATAAGTGCCTATATGCTACGACCAACAGCCTCACAGCTAGGCAAGGCTAGAAATAGCTACAAAGTAATGGGAAAAAAAGTGCTACACTGGGTTAGAAATGGTGAATTGTCTCAGTTGTGTCTCAAGGATGTGCCAGAAAGTTTGCTTTTGTGAAACATTCAAATACAACAAAGTCAGAAAGTAATAGCAGACATGCCTTAATAGGTTTCTCCAATGGAGAACAGCCAAAAATACAGCCACACCTTGTTATATACCAGCCAGTAAAAGAGTTGTGCCTTCTGAATGCTCTTAAACAGATACTGTGCTCCTTTGCTTATTCAGCTGAGCTTATTAACCTTTAATGAAGTCTTCTTTTTGTCACACTGGCATTTATACCATCTGATTAATGCAAAGTACTTCTTGTGTGATATTTTACTTATTCTTCTAACAATAGCTTTTTTTTTTGCAGTCTATTATTATTATTATGTAGAACTAACCTTAAGGAAACTGTATAGTATCTTGTGTTTAGGTGCTCGCTGCGGCAGAGCATCATGTGTGTTTGAGTTAAGAGAAAAACTTTGTTGGGCAATGTCAGTTTGATATATCCCATACCAACACTGGATGATTGTTGCTTCCATCCTATTAAAATAAATGGATTTTAATCAGACAAACAATTGGGGATTACTTTCTACATTAATTTAGCTCCACGTTTAATTTGATTGCTGCAAGTAGAACTCTTGATCTCATTTTTTGGGTAGTTTTTAAGACATTAGCAGTTATTTGGCCTTCACAGTGCATGCATTATACTGTGGTCATTGAAATTAACACTAACAGTCTGGGCTCTTTAGACGTTTTGTAATGTATAGCCAAACTGTACCCAGTAAGGAAATTGTGTAATATATATTCAAAGGCCTCTGAAAATGCTTTTAGAGACCAGACTTATCACAGATGCATGGAATTGTCATCATCCTCCCGTCTACACCAGAAATTTGAGACCCTTAACTTCCAAACCTCGCTCATGTCTACCTACTGGGAATGCATTTGGACATAAGTGCAATTCTACTCTTTAGCCCTAAATGCCTTTTGCTTGAATAAAACTGATTTAACTTAAATGGCAATGCCTCATCTGAGTGTTTGTTTTTTGAATTTCTGATCTGTGACGGAATAAATGTCAAGGACGAGTCTTTAAAAGCAGCTGAAGGACTTTCTGCCTCACAGCTAGTCTTGGACCAGCGTGGCTTTATTATCCTCAGTTCCTCTGTTGGGGTCATATAGCTATACTTTCTCACCAATTCAATCATTGAAAGAGTCAGTGCATCATCCACGGCTGTTACCTGACACCAGAGCGACTGTCACCTACAGTTACATTTATTCCAATGTATTCCAGCATCACTTATAGCTTTTTTTTTTGCCATAGCTACCATTATTATTAGTTAGTATTATTACTAAAAAGCATTAGTACATTTTATTGCTGCATTGAGCATCTAGGTGGACCTTTGGCAAAAACGACCTGTGGGCTCTAATTAATTAATCCAATTAATAGAAATACTTCCTGGTGAGGAAATACCAGATTATGAAACAGGAAATCTCAAATTAGGGCCACAACTAAAGATTGTTTTCAGCAGCCAATCAGCTAATAGTTTGCTTTATAAAAGTTAAGAACATTTCTGAGCGCCCAAGGTGACATCTTGAAATACTTTGTCATTTTACCAATGCTTCACAATCTGAAGATACTGATTTAACTATCACAAGGCCTACTAGGCCAAATATTCACATTTGAGAGGCTGCAATCAGTGAGGTTTTGGCATTGTTGATTTAAAAACGACTGAAATGCTTAAGTCTTCCCATTTGATTCAACATAAACATACATGTCAGATAGCACACAGGTTTAAACTTCTCCTCAAAGGCAACGGGGCCATATAGGCTCTGTTCATTCATTGAGTAGTAGAGGGAGGATGCAGCACTTGGATTGTTGTTGTGTAACATGGAGGTCCACGTGAACCGCCAGAAAGCCCACGACAGATTGCTGCTTCTAGACACGCCCACTGCCAGGCGCTGTGTCCAATCACACGGTAGATACAAAATTAGCCTGTCCAATCACGACGCGGTGGGCGTGGTTATCCTGCACCGGACTCACGTTGCACAAATGTGTCGAGCGCTCTGGAGTGGTTGACGGCAGCTACGTGACTGGGACATACTTTGTTCAAAATAGTTATTATATGGTCCGGCGATCGATTTGATAGGATTTAGACTTTCGGATATTGAAGCTTAGACACACGTGGAGTCGAAAAGGTAAATATTTCAGCACAAGAGAGAAGATTTGAGCTGTCGTTAGCGATTTGGCTGAACTAGCTAACCAGCTCGCCCACGACAGCGACCCGGAGAGAACAGTGGATGTAAACAAATGAAATGTAATTGTGGTCTTGTGTCGCACTCTTACTCTTGTCAGACGGGTATTGTGTGGTTTTAGTCGGATGTTTTACATCTCCATGCAGTAAAGAGATGCTTCACTAGTGTACAGTAGTTTATATCGCTCATGTGTTAGCTAAATAACATGTCTGCCATAAGTCAGGAGGTTGCAGTTAACGAGTGGCGCTTAGCGAGTTGTTCACACACTGCAGCTCATGTTGCTCTCATACGCCTGCATTGCGTGAATAATGAGGAACATTATCATATTAGCTAACTCAATAAGCTATCACTGTAAAATTATTAATTATTACACTGTAATAATTAGCTGAGAAAAAACACTTGTGGCCTTACAGTGACTGGATTAATTTATGGCCACATAATGTATTTATATTATAATGTGTCACAAAATGTCTTTGTAGCTGGCCAGTTTTGTGGCAATATACACAATAATGTGAGTTTAATAATGTTACATAGGCGGTTGTACTTTTCAGAGTAGAGTAGTTAGTGTCTCTCCTTTTAAGCCTAAGCTGTACAGTGGTTGCTGAGGTTATTGAGGTTACTGGGTTCATGTGGGGAGGGAGTAGGTTTGTTTTGAGTGTGAGCTTTTCTTAAATCCAGTGGATGAAAGCATAAAAAACAGGTATCAGCGTTGACTTCCTCATTCTCTGCCATATCAGTTTTATTTTTGTATGGTTATTTAGTTGTAATAATAATCTTTTTAGATGACCTATATCTGTACCTATAAGCTGGCTATACTACTTCTGGATCTACTACCACAAGGCCATAAGTGCTTCCGTATTGGCAGGAATTAGGTGTGTATAGGTGTAGTGTGGTTTTAGATCTGAGTGTGCCTTTTAAAGACATGATCAACTCCTTCATTGCTTTTCGTCTATATTGTTGCATACACCTAAGCTGACAGTATCAAAGAGGACATGTTAAGATATCAAACAGACATTTTGGGGGGAAAAACAGAAGACTTTCAGTAGACACCAGTCTGCTTGTCTTTCACCACTTATGTATATTCTGTGAAAATAAGCTTCCTAAAGGTTAATGCTTTCCTCAGAGCCCAACTGCTGACCGAACCAGAACGCCAGGCGTTTTAGTGTAACAGTAGGTCAATCACTATTATGCTTGCAGTGTGACATTTTACTACAAGTCGCAGGGCTGGGTGATAATTAAATACTACCATTTATCTCCTTTCAGAAATTATCATTACAAATGATTTTCTAACGCTATGACTACATCATATTATTATCAAACTGTTCTGTTGTCCAAATTCTGAGCAGGCTGTAATTAAAAACTAACAATTATTTAGTTTTTACACATATATAAGGGGTTTGGTCTCGTGAAAATTATACATCACTGGTGGAACCAAGATTTTTCCTTCGAAACTGCTTTGAAATAGCTTTATTTGATCTGTGATGTTGTTTTCCATGCTGTGATCACATTATTATTGGAACATATCCTCATTAACATTGTTTTTGGCTGTATCGCACATGCAGCCCATCTCCTATGTCTACAGACACCACTAATGTACACAAACCATTAACTGTGTAAAAAAATCAACAACTTAGGTTTAGTTTTTTTTCTTGTTATGATCCTTATAATAAATGCAACTAACCTTTTATTTACATTTGGAGCCCAGTGTGCTTTGAACAAGGATTCAAACTCGCACATGTCCCCTCTGAGAAGTGGGGGACAAAAGTACAAATTACTAACCCGACCCAGCACCTTGACCTTAGCATCGCCTTATCAGTTCTGTTTATGTGCTGAAAGAATAAGGCAAGGCCAGAGCGTTGTACCTGAACAACAGTGAGCATGGGTTTGCGTCTGTGCTTTGCACACACACATTGCACGTATAATAGGAGGATAGCTTATACACTCCGAATTGAGCAAGCTGGTTATGTAATCCTGCAGTGACGACCTGTTGAACGACGCAGGATATTTTCACTGGCTCCTGTTTAGTGCCTCGCAGTGCGTCTCCTTTCTCTGTGCCTCACTCGCCTTGTTTCACTGCTGTGTGTGAAATGCATTGGAAAAACAACTTTTAAATGTTTAGATGTTTTATGTACTGTGTCTGAATTTAAACCCATTTAGTACGGGTTAGTCTTCGTCTGTGAACATGAAATGGTGTGTGTCACCTCTGAGTGTCTGCAGGGGATTTGAGCTGCATTTGACTTAAATGAAAGATGAGGGAAATGTCTCTGTGGGCATCAGCACACATTATTATTGTTTTATTGGTGTTGTGTAAAGACTGGCATTTGGCAGAGCTGTACTGGTGTTAGGAGTATTGATGGGTGAAATGTGCTCATATGTGTAAATCGTAGATGGAGGGAGTGAGTCAGAAAGCAGTGAGTCAGTTTGATGGTCAGATAGTCCAATAGTATTAGATAACAAGGCAGACTGTGTGTGTTGTTCCCATTTGAGAAATAAAATAAAAAAACACTGTCTTATTGCATAGAACATTTTATTTGTTTATATCTGGTTTTATGCCTGGAACTGGCACACCTAAATAAAATGCAGCAATCGTTATTATTATTGTTATTAATTACAACTGTGCTTTTCCTGCTATGAAGTGATACTTTTGCGTCACATACTACATATCAAAAATTCAGTATGCATAATAGGAAACAATAGATTTGTGAGTGTGCTCTTGATGTACACTTCTGACTCACAATGCAGTGCACAAAGCAAATGTTACTCACAGCTGCAAAATAATAGATAGATATATAATAAATTCTGAATGGTGATGAGAACAGCTAAGTCCAGAAGGACCTTGGAAAACAAAACAAAAAAAAACATCTTAGGACGACATTTTGCTGTCTGTAAAGATTGTGGTTGATGCCTGTAAACACAGTACTGTATCATTTCCTTTGAATACTTAAGTACGTTATACAGTATACTATAAAATTAGTATTATATACTCTATACACTCAGTAAGTATGGGAAATACATAAAACACAAGAAAAGGAGCAAACAGATTACACACATTAACTACACATTAACTGATTCAAAATAGAAATTGAGTCATGTTGAAGTTAAGCAAGTTGCTGCCTTATCCCAACAACTTAGAGTCTTAACAAGAATTTGAAACCCCTGTTAACAAAATGATCAGTGTACTTTTAAAGGTACAGTATAATAAGTTACTTTTTATGACTCATGGCACAAAACAAGCATGATGTGTCTGCAGGGATTTGAGCAGGTTGCTATGCAGGTATTATCTTGCACTGTGGTTGCTATTGTTGTGAGCAAACCACCAGCCTCTCTTCTTCAACTGGGAAAACATAGAGGACACTGCTATTACCATGTGTCATAATGCCTTTTTTTTTATATATATATATATATCTTTGCCGCTCTTGCCCTTATCTTAATTTATAAGAAGAAGAATATTTTTGTTTGTTGTTTTAATTCAAAATTCTAAAATCTTTTAACATGGCCCCATACCTCTTAGATAGATTTATTTTTTCACCACCAGCTTCTAGTTCTTCCGTGCTGTGAAATTAAGTCCTGCAAAGTTTATTCTGACTGACTTCTTATCATATCCCTTAATTTCCTTTTATCTTGCAGTCTTCAAGGCAGATCCTTACATCCAACATTAAACCCTGATTGAGCAAACACCTATTAGTTGTCACCACATGGAACCCATTCCCCTACTGACCACTGTAATTGGACAAATTACTATTGATGTGTGACCAAAGTGCGGAGATGCCTGGAGGTGACAGCGGCCCAGATGGGGAGGAGCCCGCGTTTCCGTCAGCAACAGGAGAAGATGGAGGGGAAGAGAGGATGGCGTCCGGGCAGCAAGACGGAGGGGTGCAGTCAGAGCACCTGGTGGGGGGGGAGAGCAGAGCTTCAGGTGGGGAAGTCGGGCAGGAAGATGAGGAGATGACTAGCGGATCACATGACCTCTCTTCCTCAGCCAATCACAGCCCTGGTAGCGCCATAGGATCCACCTCAGCTTCAACAAAGAGGTATTTGCCTGATTGCATGTGCTCTGACTGTATATATCACATCATACCACAGTGACTTGCTGCCACGTCTCTTTATTCATTACAAAATGAGCAGTGGCTTTGTATTTGGGAATATCAATTTGCAGTGTTTTGAACTTAAGATAGGTGATTGATCCCTGTGAAAGATTTGACATCTTTTGCTAACAGTTTACTACATCTAAAGTTTTATTTTTGTAGCTCTGGCCTGTTTTAACAATGTACTCACAAAAGTAAAAGCTGAGAACTCGCTGAAGTCAGAAGCAGCTTGTAAATAAATCGACTGTTTAGCCTAATTACTGTAGTTACCATTTCTTTTGGCGGTAGAAACAAAAGCAGTACACCCACATTTTTACTAATTACAAAGGAAAACCATCAGTGCCACTAAGGTCAAAGTTCAATCTGAATGTTTGTCTGTAACCTGTGATTTTGAAATATTACTGCTGCTCCGTTATAAACATTTCAGACCTCTATTTTCTGTCCCTCAAGTCAAAACTCACAAAAGCAGTATTTCAGTTTTTTGCTTCACATATCTGGAACAAACACACAGAAAACTTAAGATTAGTTCAGATTAATGATTATTTTCATTATTGATGTTTTGTTTGATCCATGAAGAGTCAGAAAATTGCGAGAAAGTTTAATCACTGTTTCCTTAAATGTCTTGTTACTGTCACAGAGGAAACCAAAAAATATTCACATTTGAGAAGCTGAAACCAGAGAAATTGGACATTTTTTTGAGAGATTACTTGTTATTAAATACAACTAGTCATTGCAGTTCTATTTGAGATGTACCCCAACTCACAAATAAAACAGTTTTTCTGTTTGCCAGTGCATTGTATTAAGTTAAACTCTTGACTGTGTGTAGTAGTGAGAACACAGATGGTGACCGAGGGCAGGCCCACCGAGAGGTGATGATCACAGTGGCTGAGATGAAGAAGAGGCTTCCATCTGACAAACGCAGTCGCAGCAAAGCCAGCACGTTGGAGGCCTTACATTATGCACTCAACTGTGTCAAACAAGTGCAAGGTAACCTGACAACTGGAAACTCTGTTTCTTTTTTTGTTTTTATTTTGAAATCAGAGTAATGTCACTACCTCTTCTGACATCATCTTGTGTTCCTTTGTAGCCAACAGCGAATACTACAAACTGCTCATGCGAAATGGCCAGGACGAGAGGAGAGATGCCAGTGTTTGCACCCTGGAAGAGTTGGACAGAGTCACCTCTGAACACACCCTTAAAAACACGGTATATATACACACACTCTCACAACACACACTTACACACAACTTACAGTACTGATGCTGTTGCCACTTTTTTACCCTAATTGTGGCTCATATTTATCATTGAAAACACACACACACACTCAGTCATGACAATAGAGGAATTCTTGGGAGTCGTTTTTATCTGCAGTTTTGATACTGATTCAAGGTCCAATTCTAAGGTCTTAGAGAAGCAAACACACTTGCATACATACCTGCACAAGTACGTTTACTTTTGCCTCACACCTGGGCGTGTGTGTGAGTGTATGTGTGTTTACTGCTTTTGCGTGTGTCTGTGACTTGGCTCGCTTGTGTGCTTGTGTCTTTCTACATGTGCGTGCGTACGTCTCTCTGTGTCTGTATGTAGGACTCCTTCGTGGTGGTTTTCTCGCTGTCGAGTGGCCGTGTGCTGTACGCGTCGGAGCAGGCTCCCAGCATCCTTTGCTGCAAGAGGAAGTTCCTGGAGTCGGCCAAGTTTGTGGAGCTGCTCTTCCACCAAGATGTTAATGTCTTCTACTCGCACACGGCTCAGCCCCATCTGCCACCTTGGAGCAACTCACACACAGGTGTGTTTGGGCACGTTATATTTTTAATAGTTTTGATTTTTATCTGGTTTTCACTCATTTTAGCTTATATTTGATGGCTTAGCTAAAGAACCTGTGGGTTTGGGGTGCTTGTGTCTAAGGTTTTCTTTATTTTTGTTAGGGGTTGTTGAATTTTCTGTCATAGTTTTAGTGCAGTTTCCCTAAATATGGTATTTTTATAGGAAAAATGAGATGTTATGAGATTCAGCACCAGTCAGGAAATAACTAACTTTTCTCTGTTCATTGTCTCTGCAGTGGGGGTTCTGTTTGACTGTGCCCAGGTCAAGTCTTTCTTCTGCAGAATCAGGTCAGTATAACTGTTGTATTTTCATTTTATTAAGGATCGTTCCTATACTGGGCCTCCTGTAAACCTGTGACTTTACAATAATACAATCTCTCTGCGAAAATTGGATGCGTGCAGAAATATATGAATTCCACAGATTCTTTCAGATTCAGAACATTATCTGGAATTTCCCACAATTACCAGTGTTTACCAAGAGATATCACTTAAGCACATCTGAAAGTCACTTTTTAAAGCTCTTTAAACATCCTGCCAAGTGTATATTCTTGTAACAAATATATTACTTTTGCAGAAGGAACATGTGGATGTGTCTATTGTTTGCATTTGTTCAAATCATGTCCAGTTCAACATACTTTTTCAGTGTTTAATATTAGTTGAGTCATTTTGGCTTATGTTTACTTTAACATCAAAGTAGAAATTGCAAAGATTTCAATTAATGTTTTAGGGGTGGAAAGGACCGTGAGGGCGAGATGCGTTACAACCCGTTTCGGATAACACCCTACCTGCTGAAGGTGCAGGGAAAAAGAAGCAGTGGGGAGGAAGAGGAGCCATGCTGCCTTGCACTAGCTGAGCGCATCATCTCTGGATATGAAGGTATAATTATAAGCACCACAAACTGCACACAACTCAAACAGCTTTGCCCAATGAAAAGTAAACACCAAAGCTGTTTATTTACTTTCTTTTTTTTGCTTGTGTGTTTGGACACAAAACCTTTGCCAATTTCTAATAGAAGATACTGTATCTATCCAACTTCGTGCATATCCATGCCCACCCGAGAGATGTTTCTGAGAAAGTCGTGAACAAAAACAGTAAATATTATGACTTGAATTACTACCTCTGCGTACCCATACTATTCAGTCATCAGTATGCAGAGGTATTCATGCACGTAAACATGGTGGAAAGATCCCTGTGACATGTCCCTGACATTGATATTATTTGCAGCTCCTCGCATCCCCTTGGACAAGCGCATCTTCACCACCACACACTCCCCTGGCTGTGTGTTCCTGGAAGTGGATGACAGGTCGATACACACACAAACATGTGCACAATGAGAGTTTACATAGAGCTTATAAAATGGCAATGTATTGATGAAGCTAATTTGATGGGTACTGTGCGCAGGGCTGTGCCGTTGCTAGGATACCTTCCTCAGGATCTGATTGGCACGTCGTTGTTGACTTGTATCCACCCAGACGACCGCCTTCTCATGCTGTCTATGCACCGAAAAGGCAAGTGTTGAACAAGGATAAACATTTTTTATTATGAAGGTTAAAACAAGACCTTGTATAAGTATAGTGGGATCAAAATTCGACATACTGAGCATACTATATATCAGCTGTAAACCACAATATTGCTCATCAAATCAAAAGGGACCCCAACGATATCGTATGCTATCGTGTTATAGTTGTCTTGTGGACAACTTGAGTTACAACAATTTTTAAAACTAGATATATATATATATAGATATAGTTATTTTCATAGTTACAACCAATAACTAATAAGTTAAAAAAGTAAAATAATTACTTAAATCCTAAATTTGGATCCAACAAGGTTTCACCCAGTCTTGTTTGTAGTGACCGATCAGTCATACAGTCTACCACATCTTCACCTCTCATGTTGCTTTTTCTCTCAAACTCTTCATGCCATGTGTAGTGTTGAAGTATGCGGGCCAGTCTCCGTTTGAGCACTCCCCGGTGCGTCTGCGCTGTCAGAATGGAGACCACATCACCTTGGACACCAGCTGGTCGAGCTTCATCAACCCCTGGAGCCGCAAGGTGGCCTTCATCATTGGACGGCATAAAGTCAGGACGTATGTAGCAACGGCACAAACTCAGAACCACACAAAGACAACATTTAAAAAGTGTTACTTTCACAAATAAAGTCTCAATGCTTTCTATGTTCTATATTTCTATGTGCTCAGGTAGGGGGGGTGGTATTTGCAGGGTCCGTCCTATAATCCACCTGTAGCAGCACTGTTGTTGCTAAGAGACTTATTAACTCAAATGACCTAATGAATATGAAGTCACTGTGGTCTCGTCTTTTGTCACCAGGAGTCCACTGAATGAGGATGTTTTTGCTGCTCGAACTAAGGATGATATTCCAGTCACTCACGAGGAAATAAAAGATCTGCAAGCAAAGATCTACAAGCTTTTCCTGCAGGTCATTATTCAAGTGCTGAAAACAAATATATCATTCATATTTTTTCATCATTTATCAATAGAAAAGATCAAATGTTTGCAGGTCATGAATACGAAAATTTACGGAAAAAAAATTACGAAAAACACAGGACAGAATTTTCCTCATTATGGGGCTTTTTTGACCCTTTTTATTACCTAACAAGATAATAGATAGATTGATTGATAGTGAAAGCAAGATTCAGTCCTTGACCACATACAGTACGAACACTTGCACACTCTAAGTGGGCTTCTCTGTTGCACACACACACATATCTCTTACGCTGTTTTTTGTTTTTCTTTCTGTTTGTGTGTCAGAGTTTGTCTGTTGCCTTCACTTCTTTGTGTCTCTTCTCCACAGCCGGTCCATAACAATGGTTCCAGTGGTTATGGCAGTTTGGGAAGTAACGGCTCTCATGAGCACTACATCAGCGTAGCCTCTTCAAGCGACAGCAATGGTAACCTGTGGGAGGACTCACACCGAGAACCGGTGAGAATCACAGCAACATCTCAGGCCAGGAAGCCAATGGTAACCCTGCTGCAAAGGTGAATCATGCTGATTAATTGTATGTGTGTTATTGCAGATGACTCTGCAGCAGATCTGTGCTGATGTGAACAGAGTCAAGAGTTGGGGCCAGCAGGCTTATCTGGGTTCCAGCCACAAAATTGCTCTTCTTGGCAAACCTGCCACAGGTAATGCAGCCCCACACATATAGAATAGTAAAAACATAAAACTATAGGGTTAAAATGTGAAAATGTTTTAATATTGGTTAAAATGACCCTTCATTCCCCCAGCACGTATGCCCCCGGCAGCCTCCAACCCTGAGGTCAGAGATCATGAAGAAAGCAGGAAGCAAACACACATTCCCTCCTATCAGCAGATCAACTGTGTGGACAACATCATCAGGTGTGTGTGATGGCAGCATCATCAGGCCACTCTTAGATCCCTTCAGTTTATTATGTGCTAAAGCGCCTAAATCCTGTCACACTATTAATTGTGTTTATGTGCCTGTGTGTGTGTATTCCAGGTTTTTGGAGAGTTGTACAGGTCCAGCCCTTAAGAGGAAAAGTGACTCTCATTCCCTGGCCACCTCTTCTTCTTCATCCTCTACCTCAGAAGACGACAAGCCTGCTGGAGCCACTGACACGGCTCAGGCTACCTCAGATGGTATAAACACACCACATACACCACCCAGTTTACTTCCCGGTTATATTTGCGTAATATTTCATAAAATTCCATGCAGAAGCAACATGTTACTTCTGTACATCTTGTTTCTCCTCACTTTCCAGTGGTTTTGGACAGTGGGGTGTCAGTGGCCCCTACAGCAGCAGCAGTTGTTGGAGCGCCTCTGACGGACATCACAATGTCTACGAAGGCCATGAGTGTAGTCTCTGTCACCAGCCAGTGTTCGTACAGCAGCACCATCGTCCATGTGCCACAGCCTGAATCAGGTACATAAACATACTTTTATGTCTGTGTGTCAGGTCATGGGAGTCACTCAAATGCTTTCTTGCGACTGTTCTGTAGATCTTACATTTTAATAACGTGCATACGGGAGTTAAATCTTTATTTAGAACATCTTTGGATCACTGTCACATTGGTAAACTGCCTATAGAACATGTTTTTTTTCCCTGTGTTCTCCCACAGAGGCCACGGCACTAGAGGACGCCCCTATGGGCAGTGAGCCTGCTGACGCTGCTCCGACCCCTGTCCGTCCTGCACCGAGCCCCGCCGCAGAGGAACGAAGGGTTATAGGTCTCACCAAGGAGGTGCTGTCAGCTCACACCCAAAAGGAGGAGCAAGAGTATGTGGATCGATTCCGCCATCGCATCCTCCAGAGCCCCTACAGCTCCTACCTGCAACTGGACAACAGCTCTATGGCTCACTCCCACCACCCAGGTATGTACCTTACTTATAAAAATAACAACAACACGTGTGGAGTTAGTCACTGCTGAATATAATTTTTAAAGGACACTTCAGCACTTTTAAACAAACTCATTTTGCAATCTGTGTCCATCTCACAACAGGCGACTACCTACGTCCACTGAGTGCTGGCGGGTTGAACCGCTCTCGGAGAGGGAAGCCCAGACACAAGCGCCCTAAACCCCAGGGTTCCTCAGACAGCTACGCTTCCCCACCTGGCCCTCCTCGCAGAGTCCCCAATTCCTCCTGGCCCTCCTCAGAGTCCTCCCAGCCCCAGATGGGGGCGCCCTACAGCCAAACATCCCAACTCCAGGCGCCATTTTTCCCCATGATGGCGACCCAGCCTGGCCCGGAGCAACCTCCCAGACCACAGCAGCTGCCTGGAGTGAGCCCTGTAGTGCTACAGCCTCCTGACCAAACCCAGTTCAGCTACAACTTCATGCAGTCTCCTCAGACCCTGCCAGGCATGCAACCAATCCAGATGGAGCCCATTCAGAATCTGCAGAATATACAGAACTTTCACAACCTGCAGCCCATGGCTCAAGCTCAGACCATCAACCCATACATGGCTCCGGTCATGGCTGTCATCCTGCCCAACTACCAAACTTTCACTCCAGGTTACCCTTCCATTTACCCACCATCCGCTCCTTCCATGCTCCCCCAGGCACCCATCACCATGACAGGCTTTGCCCCTAGCAGTGCCGCCTTCCCTCAGCCCCTGTTCCAAGCCCAGCCTGGCCCCCAAACTCAGACCCCCCTGGGCCCTCTGCTCTGCTCACCCAGACCTAGCTCCTCTATCGGGGAGGAGGAGGAAGAAGCCGGGCCTCGTGCTTTATTCTCCAGCTCCCGATCGAGTTCTCCGCTGCAGTTGAACTTGCTGCAGGAGGAGCTGCCGAAGCCGAGTGAAGGGCAGAGCAGCACCGGGCACAACCACGCTGAGAGCCTCCACGAAAAACATGCCAACGAGGTGAGACTGCTGTTTCCTGTCAACCCTCACCTTGTCATGTCAAAACTTTTACTTTCTTACTGCTTGTTTCTTCAAGTTTTAAACAAATACAACTATTATCATGCTCTCAGTAGATAGAGAGTCATATATACCTGGTATAAGTTGATACACAGCACAAAGCTCTCCAGTATTATTCACAGCATAATGAATTGGTTGTGTTTTGACTGTTAACCTTTGCCTTGATCAGGGTGATAACCCCAGTGATTCTGGGAACCATGATGCCCAGTCTACATCAAGTGAGCTGCTTGACCTGCTGCTGCAGGAAGATGCCAGGTCAGGGACCGGCTCCAACGCCTCAGGCTCTGGGTCAGGGGAGTCTGGAGGCTCCCTGGGATCTGGGTCTGGATCTGGCTCTAATGGAACCTCCACCTCACACACTGGTAAGAGAGAAAACACACTTTAACATTTGTTAAACCCAGTCTGCATAAAATTGTCTTTTCACACATTATGTGTTTACAGCTGGCAGATAATATTTGTAATATCACAAAAACATTGTGCCTCTAAATGTTTTGGTACATTGCAAATGAGTAACGCAATCGAATTATTAAAAAAAATAATGCAAGGAGAAACAGTTTTACTTAATAGTAGGCTGAAGTGACTTATGCAGAGCTCTTAATGGCTTACAGGCAGCAGCAACAGCAGCAAATACTTTGCCAGCAATGATTCATCAGACACATCACGCAAAGCCCGCAAGAGCCAGGAGGCACCGACAGAGCACCAACACAGCTTCGACACTCGGGTGGAGAGCTCACTGTGGAGCATTATCCAGCACACGCCTGAGCATGTCATGATGACGTACCAGATCCACACCAGGTACACACTCAAGACCACTCTTAACCGTTCCCAGTCCACTCATGATGAACTCAAATAAAATGTCAGTTTGCATCGATGTGTGGCCAGAGCAACATACTTCAAAGCTTCAGCCCACACTGAGCACTGCGTTTTCCTTTTCTTCCCTTTGTAGATGAGTCAGTTCATCCTCACAGTGATTTGCATTGGAATTTTTTGACCTTGTTATTTTCAGTAGGCTTTTGGACTTTTTGATGATAAACCTTTTTAACAAAATCTACCAATATACCCTGTTTAGCATATTTTTAAGTGTATTGTCACATTTTAATATTTAATTTAATTTTAAATGCTCAAAGAGATTCAGCATTAATCTGTTCCACTGTTCGGTGACTTTAAAATACATTAAACAACTGCATTCCTTTATTATGTCAAAAGTCAAAACCTTTTAAACTGTTGAGGTCAAAGCTCTTTGAAGCAGCTGCTTTGAAACCAAAGAAGGATTAGCATTTTTAATACGTTTAAGCCTTTTTGGGCTTTCCATCATTTTAATGATATTCTGTGACACCTTATGGCTTCTTGACAGTTGTTTGATGACTGTTGCCTCTCAGAGTCCCTTGATCGTAACATGGGTGTCCTCGCTACTGGTTCTCTTTTTCTGAACAATCAATGTGTGTATTCATTTGTCATTCCTCACACTAGACACTCTGCTAGTGAGGATAGCTACTTTAGGCAAAGGTGAACTTGAGCTTTATGGGTACCCTCTGCTGATTTGATTGTGTAATATGACATCGTCTAATCCTTCAATGTAAGACAATCCAACCTTATTTATGTGTAATTTCTTTTTAAAAAAAATGTGTGTGTTTTATATTTGTAAGATTTATGCAAGGTGGTATTTTTTCATTTAACCATGTCATTAAACATTATATTGCGATTATTGTGACAGATATTGCGATTCACGATTATGTGGGAATGATCATGTTTGCATCACAAATCATTAACATATTGTACCTGGCCATATTGCCATTTGGATAATATTTCCATATATATATTCCTAATTTAACCCTTTGTGTTTGCCCTGTATCTTCTCCAGGGACCAGAATGAGGTGTTGGCAGAGGACAGGGAGAAGCTTCGGGTGCTTCAGCCCCTCCAGCCCTGGTTAAACCAGGAGCAGAGAGAGGAGCTGGCTGAGGTCCATCCCTGGATTCAACAGCACACTATCCCACAGGAGATCGACACACAGGTTGGGATCTCCAATCCCACGCACTCACCACGAACATATTAATCTTTCCACCCACCTGAACACATGTTTAATGTATCTTTGTGTCTCACAGGGTTGTGTGAGCTGCAGCGCAGGTGCAGGGGTCGCCCACTCCCCTCACCCTCCTGCCCCCGACAGCTCATCCCCTCTGGAGAGCCCTCAGCAGGACTCCATCGGACCTGTGGTGGACACTTGAGAGACCTGGAAGCCAAAAGAACCAAGCACCCAGATCACAGCGAACCAGCCCTGCCAGAAAAACATTGACAAATCCCACCATGCATTTCTTCTGACCAATCCGGAGCAGTGGGTCCTTGTGCTTTAGTTTGAAGTGTAACATGTTTTGTAAAGGTATCAGTGGCTGGACCAGGCCCTGAGGAACACAGAGGCGAGAGCAACAGGCATTTTTACTGTCATTTTCTCTTAGTAAGCCTAATGTGACTGCCTTTATTGGACCATAAATATTATACCTCTCTACTTTTTGTGTTTATAGACCCCTGTAGGGGTTTAGTTTGTATTTAAGATATTTTTGGCACCATGAGCCACTCGATATAGGATCCCATGGTTACTGCCCCTGAACATTAGCACTGTGTACACACACCCAGTCTATAGGATGTGTGCAACTGGGTGACAAAACAATGACCGTGCTGGCCCCGTTTGAGAATCAGAACCCATGTCAGACTCTTCTCCAGAGACATGGAGTGCAGGTTGTACAGTGTGTGTACCACATCAACTCCTTCAACTGCATTGTGACCTACCATGATTGACACATGGTAGATTGTTTTGATGGACACGGAGACAAAGACACATTTGCTGCTCTCTGTTTATAATGTTCTGATTATAATCTTGTAAGTTAATTGGTGTTGGAGTGTATTCTCTTATTCCATATGTTGTTTTCCTCTCGACCAGAACATCAGTCTTTATGTTACGCTGACTCACAAACAACAGCAAATATATTGATCATTTCAAATTCAATTTAGTGTTAAAACACAAGTCCAACCCAATGTCCTAACCTTCCTGTAGCACCCCCCAGTATCCTGCCTTGTCCTCACACTACAGTACCTGTAGCTTACCTCTAATTGTAAACTGACACAACGTGGCCCCAATTTTCTTTTAATCCTGGGTTTACTTACTGAATGAATTTCCTCTTAGAATCCGTGTTAGCTGTCTGTTTGACTGGCTATGTGTGCGTGTCTGTGTGAAAGAGGAATTGACTAAACTATTGTAGTTCTGTGAACGTTGTCACATTTTTTTCTCATACTGGATTCAGATTACAGGTGAGCAGGTGTGTGTGTGTGTGTGTGTGTGCGTGCGCGCGCGTCCGTGCGTGTTTGTGAGCCTGCGTGTGCTGACCTTCGATACAGTTGTCCGACAGTGCAAGACAGACCAGGGTTTTCTACCATTTTTAGATTCAAAGTATATACAGTACAATGTATTTTATAGAAAAAGTACACAAAACAAACTTCACAAAGTGTATAAAAAGCCATTTGTCTTGAATTCAGGGACTGTTTGTTTGTGACACAAAGGAATGAATAAATGAACTATGACCTAACATGTACTTAGATGTGACTGTCTGTTTAGCACAATACAGAAAACATAATAGCTATGTTGATGCCTGCTATCATGGATGAAGTTGTACAGTTTAAACACCCATCAGTTGCTACTAGTGGGTGCAGACATCAGCAACAAAGAGTGTACATACCAAACATCTCTTCTGTCCACATTCAGCTAACAAATAATAATATTTACTGTATGATTATTCACAGTCACTGGAAAACAAAGTATTTCCTCAAAGCAATCACATGGAATAACCAACTTCAGTTAAACATCAGCGTCAAACTTTAATAAAAAAAAAGGCACATTCCACACAAAAAATACAGTCTGAGCATCAAAAACATTTGTATATACACTGCTTTGCTGGTCAATGAGCATAGAGTTAATCATAGTCTAGGAAGCTGTACACACTGATAGTAGCGCTTCAGTGGTGCTTCAGCCCAGTCGTTTAAGCCGTGATGGATACAAGAGCAAAACAAAGTTAAAATGAAAACATCAATTTGTTTTTTTTACTTGAACAATAATCAAAGCTGTAATAACTGATAATTCAAATTCACTAATAAACAACTGAGTCAACTTTATTCAACTTATGCACACATTGCTCCTTTATTTAGCCGTTAAGGCTTGGTTTAAGCCCCTCTGGGTGGCGCCATTGTGCCGTGCACAGAGGCCCAAGTCCAGTCTTTTTTTAGTTTGAGTACAATGAAAGAAAACAAAATCTGTTTTTCTTTGTCTCTAATACTGACAATTTGAAAACATGAGGCCTCAGTGTGAGCTGTTTATTTGTTTTTTACTGGATTTCACAACACTTTCTCTCTTGCTGTCTCCTGCCAGAACAGAAGGCAGTGTTTAGTTTGGAGCGCAGCCTCTGGACCAGCCAGTGACTCCAGGTTCACTTTTTTGTGATTTCCTCACTTAGAAAATTTCTGCATCTCTGTAAAAAAAATTACAATTTTAAAGTTAAGGAGGATGAAAATGAGAACATCTGCGATAGCTGCCTTTGCATGTGTGTGTTACCTTTGTCAAGGTCAATGACTTTAGGCTGAGAGTTCATGTGGACCTTCTCTTTCAGAAGGTTGTTCTTGTAGTCTAAAAGCACACAGTAGAAACTCTAAATACACACACAGTAGAGACAAAATACACTAATTTATTTACACTCCACTCTTTCTTCTAACTCACCAAGTCTTCTCTCCTCCTGGCTGCGCACATTCACTTCAGCAACATCCATCTCAAACTCCTCTGAGCTGCTATGACTTCTGCTGGACCTATGAGATGAAGAAAGAGACATCTGAGTGTATGTTTAAAGGTAAAACGGTGATCATGTGTGTGTGTTAGTGTCGCTCACCTCATGGATGTCTGTGGATAAAACTCTGAAAACACAAGAAAACCAGATGAGATTCCAAAATTTAAATTCCAAAGTAAATCACGTATAGTCAGACTTGAGGTACTGCAGGTCAGACCTTTGGTTCTACGTCTGCGTGTGATGAGGATGATGATGAGGATTATGAATGCCAGGAGCAGGAAGGAGGTAAGGACATAGCCCAGCGGCAGAAGAAAGTGGTGTCTCTGGTCAGGCAGAATAACGTTGATGACTGGAGGTGATTCAGCCTTAGTGGTGTCTGAGTAATACAGAGAACACAACAGTCAGCATTTGGTGCTCCTCTGTTCTTCATCTTTTCTCGCACAAACAGACCAATGTGTCATCCTGAGGTTTACAAACGTAATAAACAAGACCAGACCTTACATTGAACAGACGTTACACACCTCGTGAGTAACACAAAAACAATCAATTTAGTCCAATAATAACTTTCACTACTTGAATTTGTTCACTCCCATCTGGAGGCACTTTCTGTGGCTTTGCAGATTGTCTAAACTTTTACTTAGAAACATGAACTTGAAACATCTTAAAACAAAACTGTCCAAAGCTTTCATATGAGCAGTGCTAAACCTGCATTTGTACATTTTTCATCTGGTATAAAGATTTAACTCTTTCTCCCATTTAAGTCCCTACAGGTTTAAAATTCTCTTTCACAATCATTTCACAATCACATTTTTTTAAGCCACACTAGCAGTGGCTATAAGGATTGCAATGTTGGTCACCACTTTGGTCCAGACTGAAATATCTCAACAGCTATTAGAAAGATGGCCATGATATTGAGTGCAGATATTCGTGGTGCCCAGAGGATGAATCATACAGACATTGGTGACACTCTTTTCCTCTTTTCCTCTAGCGACACCAGCAGGCCATGGTTTTCAATTATCCTGTGATATATCGCAGCATCTCCTGAGTGGATTGGCAATTCATGTTTAGCTAGCTAGCATAGTTTGAGTGCTAAATAAGCCGCATAGAGAAGTTAGCCTGGATACATATATGCTTCTGTGATAGTGTGACCAGGTTACTACTGTACTATATGATTATGTCTTCAGTAAATAAGGAAATAATTAAAGAAGGAAAATCTTCCCTCTTTAATGTACAAATAATAGCAAAGGACAATAATATATATATATAATGTGTTTATGCACCGAACACACTGAAGAAGTGCACTTTTGAACTTCATTTCTGCAAAAATGAATCTTGTCTTTGTTCCCGGGGAATTCAGTGGTTTGTGTTTAATGTGTGTTTGCAGTGGCAGACAACATCTGATGCTAGGAGACTAACATATGAGTTCACTGGCAGAGATTTCTCTCCAAGCCAAAATCGTTTTCACTCCGTGCATGTGGCTGCATATATGAGTGTATTTGTGTATGTGATGCCACGTTAGGTCTAACACCTTGCACATTTTTTTATGTTGCTTTTTTTCTACATGCAATAACATTTCCTGGCTCTAAAAAAAAAAAAAAAAAATGTTGAATGCATTTCAAGGGCAGGGAGAAATAATTAGCCGGTCGGCATTAGGTGATATGTGCGGTTCTGCGGAGTGCTGAGAAGTGGTGGTGGGGCGGGGAAGGGGGCGCCTGGTTTCATTTTGCTTCATTAAAAAAGTGCAAGGCAAGAAGCAGCTGTGGACCTCAGACTCAACATATTTGAGCCAAAATGAGATCCAGACAGAAAGTCATGCTGTGATTTACTTTTCCTGGCAGTAAAACACAGAAAAGTGGGGAGAGGAAGAGGAGTGAAGGAAGGACAGAGCAGGGTGGAACGGAGGAGGAGAGCCAAGGGAGAGGAAGGGGACGGTGAGATGTTTCTATAGACGCTTGACTCGCAAAATGAAGCTAGAAAAGACCTCGCCCGGTGATCCCAAACACAACAACTATCCAGCACATGCACAGCTGCAGTGTACATGAAAACAACATGTTCATTAACATTACAAATCCTCTGATCCTTTTGTTTAGTTTCAAGCCATTTCCTCCTGACTCGTGCCCAGATGGGAACATATGTGTTTGTGTTTAGACTGGCTGCCCAGTCCTCTCCCTCCCCAAACTGCACTGAGAAATAACTCTGATGGGATAGAGGGAGGAAGGGAGGGAGGGAGGGTGACCTACATCTCTTTTACCCCATTTCATCAACAGACTCCTCGCCCCCCATCCTTCCTTCTCTCTTTGTGTATCTCCCTCTATCTCATAAACATCTCTGTCTTTACCTCTCAGTCTATTTTTCCCTCTCTGTTGCCAGCTGCAGCGCAGATGAAGCAAACTTCCTGGTCTTGTCCAAAAACTTTTACCGAGTTCTCTTTATAAGCGTGAAAAGCGATGGAGAAGAGTGAGCGAAAGGAACGTGGTGAAAAAAACAAACCTGAGCATGTGTGATCCTCAAAGGAGGAAGAAAGAGAGAGAAGGCAGGTCGGAGGGAAGACAAAGGTGGGGTGAAGAATGTCTCCAGAATGTCAGGAGAGAGCCAAAGTCAACAGGGCAGCAGACAGTCAGAGAGGGCAAAACAAGAGCAGATAAGACGAGGAAATACTGCAGTGGGCTTCTAATGTCTGAGAGTGCAGAGGAAGAAACTCTGCAAACTCACTCCTGTGCTGGAGATAAATCAGTTATGCCTCTTGTTTCTAGCCAGTAAAATTCCCATGGTGCAATCCTACTGTATTATTACAGCTCTGGGAGTGAAGGATTAATTGTGTGGGCAGAGCTGGACTTCAGTCCAAAGACTGTATCCGAGAGATTCCACCGAAATGAGATCGGACTTGGCACGCTCTTTGACACACACATACTGACACACACAGATGGACTTGGCCACAGGCATTTCTCATTTCTAAACCTCTCTCAATGATTTTCCCACATTGATACATCTGCCATTATCGGCTTTGCTTCAGTTACCTATAGGAAACACAGACACACGCACCAGAAATTCTCTCATTCTCAGAGAATTTGAGGTAGGCAGCTGGCATACCAACATGCCAATCCTCCCTCATGTCTGCTCCCCCTCTCTTCTCATTCTCTTTTCTTTTCCTCTTTCTAATATGCACTTAGAGAAAGGATTTTTTTTTCAGGCGGGTCAAAGCACCAAGAAATGTGAACCAAGCAATTGAGAGAGGAGAAACAGAGAGGAACGCACAGAAAAGAAAGTAGACGATGCACTAAAGACAAAAACACGACACATACAACTACGAACGCACCAAATGTACGTTGAGTAGTGCCATAAAGATCAAACAGTAGAGATATTGAGTAGAAGGTGAAAGGCGATGAGGGTGAGGTTTGGAGGAGGTTGTGAGGGAGTGCGTGTGGCTTCAGGGGTCTGGCGTCAGACAAGCTGACAGTGCAAGAAAAATTCTCTCATAAAACAAACAGAAAAACTTGAGAAATAATGAGTTCTTTAAAACTCTGTTCCTCTCATCTCTTCTTCCTCTGCTGTTACTTTGCTCTTTGGAGAGTGAAACAAAACGAGTGAAGGGAAGAACAGATGTGTGTGGAGTTTTATCCTAATTGTACACATGATAGTTCAAATCCATTAAGTCATAAAACATATGCTCTGCTAAGCCACTCACAATGACCTATAACTAGAGCAGGAAGAGAAATACGTGTTTGTATATTTGTGTGTGTGTGTTACCTTTGTCTTCACTGGGCAGTGCTTTGGCTGGCAGGGTGGTCTGAATCACTGGTGGTTCCACTGTGATCTGAAACTCTCTCCTCTCGTGTAGACCACAGTAATGATGGTGGAGGTGGCAGGAATACATCCCCTGGTCTGTGGGCTGCAGACAGTCACACACAAATGTACATTATACTGTATGTCATGTGCCTTCAGATGAAACAATCTGTCTGAGTTCAGAAACACTTAAATGGATTGCTCTGAATGTGCAGACTAACACAAGACTGCAATAAAGCTTGTTTAACATTTGTTTACATCAGTAACCCTGTAATACCCAATTCATTTGGAGGTGGTCGGCCTAAAATAAACTATTTGTGACAGTTTGTCATTATGATAAATGTACCCAAAGTTTTCAAGAATGTGTGACATTGATTGCCAACAGCTTTGAAGGCAGGCAAATGGGCAGGCACCCACAGGTAATGGAGTAAATCAAGCCTGTGTTGTCAGATATAGTAGACAACATGAGAAACCACTGTCTTACCAGGAAAACAGATTTTATGTTACATTACTTCTACCCTTTATAGCGTAAACAAGAAGTAAATGGCTCTGACAGTCAGTGTTGCCTTTAGCTGCCTGGAAAACTGGCCCCATTCCACAGTATGGTTGTTAACCCCCAGAGCTTCCTGAGCCTGTATTTAACCTAAATGTTCTGATTTATGGGCCCTATCAAACAACGCAGGGACCCTTGAGATCCCTAAAACATGACTGTTAACTTTTCTCCACTTGTTATTTCTACAAATGGGACAGGCGGAACAGTAGAAAGTCATTTTGGATGGATCTTGTATTGTTTGTTATGGTACTGTTGTTGATGTGATTGCTCAACTTACTGTGGCTACCATTTTCCCAACTGAACAATAAAGTTTGCCTTGACAAAAGCTGAATTACTAATGAAACTTCCATGTGTTCTGGAAACACTGTATGCATGTACACACAGGCATACATGTATTTGTAAACACTTTTATCCAAAGTGCATGGGGGCACACGTTTAGAGTTATGGTGACCCCGGTGGGAAGTGTACCTCTTCCCACTGCAGTATATTTTTAGTATGTGTACTAAAACTATCAGGCTCCTGTGGTGTGTTCTGTTAAGTTACTCTCCTTTGTACACACCTGCAGATCAGATATGGAAAGCGAAAAGTCTCCCTCTGAGAAAGCTCGGTTGCTGATGTTCATCTTCCTCTGGAGGAACAGCGGCCCGTAGCTACGCTGCTCCCCGGAGGCGTACAGATCCACTAGCCTGTCAGCGCGGTCGTGGCGGACCCCTGGGGACTGACGGTCCCAGTGGACCACCTGGAAGCCACCAAGGTTTCAGTCAGTACAGTAGCACGTAATCCCTCAAAATTAAAAGTAAATCTAGAGTAAGATTGAACCTACAAACAAGCTCATGCACTCCACACACCTGCTGGTCCTCCTCCTCCTCGCTCCAGTCTGTCCACACATTGCGTCGGTTGATGCAGGGCAGCACCACGGTACTGCCAAGCAGCACCACATACACCGCCTTTTGTCCATCCCAGAAGCGCTGTTCTTTACGGCCTTTATGGTAAATGTGCAAAAAAGACAAACCGAGTGAGCTTCAAAATTGCTAGGTGTGAAATATGTTGATATTTGGGACAGTGTGATACATACGGGATTTAGTGACATTGAGCTGTACCCTGACTGTCTCGTACAGGTGGCAGTAGAGATGGTGGAGGTTACAAGAGTATAGACCTCTGTCATTCATTGTCACGTCTGTCATCACATGCAGAAGCAGAAAAAAAATAATGAGTAATAGAGTTGGGTAATACATGATAGTGAACACTATTTCACCTTTGTCAGTTTCTTTGTCAAAATTACATCATTGGCACATGAAGTCAGTTGAGAGCTGGGCTTCTTCTGATTGGTGCAGTCAGGTGTTTGTGAGGTTCTGACAGCTCTGTCAGAATTTTAGTTGTTTCAGCTGTTGGAAAATAAATCATGACAGACAAGTGACAAGCAAGCGCAGATGTTACAAAAAGAATCATCTACATTCTCCAATGATGTTGCTTTCGGTGCATTCAAGTGCTTGTGGGAAGCTCCAACATTCACACAACACCACCATTGATAGTTGACTCCAAATGGAGGAGTTTTGCAAAAGTTTTGACAGGTTTTACAACAGTAGTGGGCCATCTTGCCTAAAACAAAGACCTCCTCTGTTAACCTCATAAAAATGAACCCTGTTTTATGAAATCAAAGATTAAAAAATGACTATTGTGTAGGCTGTCTGTCTAAAATGTGAAGAGATTTCCTTGGGCAAACTTACCTTCTTTCCAACTGTATTACTTAAGCAATAGTGCAACTTCACTGGTATGAAAAGTGATGGCTGAATCTTAAGTCTAATTATATGGTATGAAAATGGCTGATTTGGTTTAAACAATCTGGTGCTGTTAAGGCAATCATTGTAAAGTCAAAGACAGTGAATGTGACCTTTGATGACCAGGGAGAAGTTTCCATCCTTGAAGGCCGTTTGGCTGAGGCCGACCCTGCCCAGGTTGTAGGAGTTGTAGATCCTCTGGTCCCCCGCAGAGAACATGTCCAGCACCCTCTCCATGGCGTAGTCTGGATGGGCCCGGTACAGGTCCCAGTGGACCACCCTCTGCCTGTCCCTCACCCTGTCCCTGGTCCACACCATGCGGCCACTCACACACTGCAGCACCACCCTCGACCCAGCAGGGGCGCTCACATTGTACCCTGCCACCACCACGCTGCTGCTGCTGTCAGACTGACCTGACACTGATGGACAGAGAAGGTGTAGAGTTTTACCCACTGAGACATTAAGCATTTACTAAATCCATGAACTGAAACACATAGATTTGAATCACAAGGAGAAACATACCTGCAGTGAAGAGGCAGGCCACAGGGACTGAAATAGAAACAGTAAGAAAAGTGAAGCAGGAACACACCCATGCATGTTGTGTTTAAAAGTCTGCTGTTGGAATAAGACTCTCTAAAGTCTATAAGATTAAACCACAATTGAAGTTTGTTCAATTAATACAATTATTTAAGGTTAATACAGTTGCAAAGGAGACCAACAACAAACAATTTACTGCAGCTGTTTCTAAGAAAACTAAATATGAGTAATTGAAAACAATAGTGTAAACTCTTTGACTAATATCCATAGTGTGCAGTTAAGTAAATGACTGTCTTTCACTGTCTTGATGCTCACTCAGTCAAAGTCATCCGACAGGAATGTGTTTGTGTGAGTGTCAGTGTGAAGTATGAGGTGGGCAGGAGGGAAAACATCGACTCTGGCTTTAATATTAGTCTGTAAATATTCAGAGAAATTATTTCAGTCCCTGCTTGGGAGTAAATTAATATCAGTCATATTTTTCTAAAACTTTAAATAAACTCAAACTCTTAAAATACGAAGCTGAATCCATCAAACACAAAAAATGCAACCAATTTTAACCTAATTTTGGCTCTAATAGGCTACTTTTTAAAATATCACTGATGTTATGGATGCATACTCTGAGATGCATGTAAAACAACGCTACAACAAACAAACTCCAGCCTACTTACTGTGGATCAAGAGGAGAGCCTGCAGAATGATGTCCTCCCTCTCGGTCTTCATGTTTACAATGTTAATGGAGCGGACACTTGTCAAAGCTGTACACCTGAGAGGACCTGAGAGTTAGAAGACACGTATTGTGTATCCATCCGCATCTGCAGCAGCAGCAGGACTTGATTTGGTCAGATTTCAGAGTTTGAAGACAAGCAGCGCCACGTTAGGGCTTGAGTATAGAACCAAAACTGAACTGATCCCACCCGGGAAATGAAACCTGACACCACCACCGGCCTGCATGTACATTCCCTCTGCTCTAAAAGCCCGCATCTTAACTTATAACAGGACAACAGCTCAAGAGAGAGATTTACGAGGACGAGCTGTGAATGGTGCATGTCTTTCTTTCTCATTTATTTTGCTTGTGGGGACTGAACCCATTATAAACTAACTTTTCGTTTTAATTCACCAAAATTGACTGTTTGAACTTTAATTATATAAAGTAACAGGGCAGTTAGTATTAGTAGGATTATTGTATTATGTGTTGTGTATTATGTTCTTTATATACTTGTTCTTCGCTGCATTTCACTGCCAAATACTGAACTTTACTTCTAATGCTACACACACACACACACACACATACCTTATTCCTCTCCATGCCCTTTAATACCTCTTTGCCCTTCAGTAGCAATCTGCATAGAAATGTGTGCATTCTATCATTCAGTGACTAGACATTACACCCTGGCTAATATGAGAGGTCCTCGAATGACTGAAAATGAACCCTTGAAAATACCAGACGTTTGCATTATGCCGCCACGATTGCATCTCTTACAGGGAAAGACTTGATTATGTCATTTGCCATGTCCACGTCATGCTGGTTTTTATATCTTTGCCAGGAAATCTACCTCTGACAGGTCATTAGTCATCCCTCCCTCCCTGCACGCACATAAAACATCAATTCCACTCAATATCCCGCAAACCCCCGTGCTTCTCAACAAATGCCAGAACAAAGAAGACGCTATGTAAACTATTGCCGTGCTCTGATTAGCTCTCATTCCAGAGCACTGCAGAAATAAGGCACTCATTCCCCACCCTGTTTGAGATAACTGCCCCTTTTCAGCAGCCACATCATCCCTCCATACCCATACATGCCTTGTAACATGAGTGCATCTGTTTAGCTATTCTCATCAGCTGCTTATGTAGTGACATTAAGGAAGCCTATTGCTTACAGAACCAATAATCTATATCGCCTCAGGCCCCCTTTATATCCACTAACATACTACTTCAGCAGCAGAAGTAGAGCCACTTTTGTTAAAGAAAAAAAAAAGCCCTCCACAGAGCTATAGCGGCTTTCTTGACTGACCCGGGTGGTTGGCTACATCATCTTGACATGTAATTATCTAAAGCCCTTTAATCACTTCCATAAAGATTAATTGCAGGAGACAACAGCGGAGGTCGTGTCTTCAAATCAAAAGACTCCTTGGCAGATTGACACAGCGGTGTAACAGAGTTCAGACTTAGGTGTTTTATAAGGGTCATCTACTGGAACTGAAGCAGGTTTTAATGCTGTAATTGCAAGTTCAGCAAAGTGGGTTTTATAGCGTAAAGCTGCAAAGAATTCTATTACATTTTTTAGCTTTTTTGTAGGATTTTAGACATTTTCTGCGTGCTAATCCTGAG